TAAGCTGCTGCTGCTGCTGCTGCTGCTGTAGCAACTGCCACAGCAGCAACACCACCAGCAGCAACTGCTGCAGCAACGCATGCAGCAGCAGATGCAGATGCTTCTGCGGGAGCAAGTAAGGCCGCTCCAAGAGCAGCAACAACAGGTGAAGGAGCAGCAGGAGCAGCAACAGTTTTGTTGACCTAGTCAGCTACTCAACACGCTGCTGCTGCTGCTGCTTTCTCTTTGAACAGCTGTTGCTGCTGCTGCAGCAACTGCAGCAGCAGCAGCAGCAACAACAACAACCCTGTTTCTGTCACAGCCTGCAAATGCAAATTTAAGTATTCTCCTTACAGGCAGCAGCAGCAGCAACAGCAACTGCTGCTGCTGCTGGTGCTGCTGTTAGGTCTTTGCATCCTGTAGCAACAGCAACGGCTGCAGTAACAGCAGCAGCAACTCTGCAGCAGCAGCAGCAGCAGCATGCAGTTATGTTCCAGTGTCTCCCGTCTCTTGTTGTTTTGTTCTGTTATGAAAAAGTATATTTAATTACCAGCATTATTATTATTATTATTATTTATTAATTATTATTATTAGTTGTTATTATTATTATTAGTTATTATTATTATTATTAGTTATTATTATTATTATTATTAATTATTATAAATTATTATTATTTATTATTACTATTATTTATTATTATTAATTACTATTATTATTTATTATTATTACAATTTATTAATATTAATTATTATTACTACTATTATTATTAGTTATTATTACTATTATTATTATTATTGAAGTCTTTACATACACTTGAGCTTCAGTACGCATACACCTGAAGACACCAGAGCTGCATATACACCCCAATGCAGTCCTAAGATAAATAAAGATAAATTTATATTTTTTTGTTTTAAATAAACAATTAAATTAAATTAAATGAATCTACATAATAATAAAACACCTTTACTTCTTTTTATTAACTAAAATATCCCTCACTATACACACCAACGCAATAGCTGCAGCAGCAGAAACAGCAGCAGCAGCAGCAGCAGCTGCAGCAGCAACAGCAGCAGCAACGGCAGCAGTGCCAGCAGCAAACCCTACAGCTGGCTGCAGTTGCTGAACACTTCTGAAGCCTATAGACCAACACCCTAAACCCTAAACCCTAAACACTGCTCACTATAACTGGAGGACCTACCCCCGAGCAACTAAACCCTAAACCCTAAACCCTAAACCGTCAGGTCTAAACCCTAAAATCTACTGCCTCGCTACTTGTATGCATAAACCCTTTGTAAACAAACAACGAATGCAGCAGTTGGAGCTGCGCGTACACCTGAAGAATAAATATTAAAAAAACAAATTCAAGGCAAACAAGAGACCGAAAATGGTATAAGGATACTTTGGGGTTTAGGGTTTAGGGTTTAGGGTTTAGGGTGCGCAGCCTCACACAGACAACCCGGTTAGGACTGTCTGCTGCTGTTAATTAAATATATACATAATTAAAATAAATATATAAAAATTCTGAGGCTGCTGCTGCTGCTGCTGCTGTTGTTGTTGCTGCTCGTGTTGCATCTGCTGCTGTTGTTACTGCTGTTCCTGTTGCTGCTAACATTGCTGCTGCTGTTGCTGCTGCAGCTGCTGCTGCTGCTGCAGTTTGTAACGCCCTATGGCGGTGTGGGCATTCTCTCGTTCATATCGACGGGGTCAATAGGGCCTGCAACAATCGCAAACCCTAAACCCTAAACCCTAAACCCTAAACCCTAAACCCTTAAGCATGAGTCAAAGATTTTTAGCCAGCATGTCGACTCCCGAGGAGCAGTACGTCTGAACTTCCTAAACCCTCAGCCCTACACCCTAAACCCTAAAACCCTAAACCCTAGAACCCTAAACCCTAAACCCTAAACCCTAAACCCTTACCGTCAGCCAGTCCGAAGGTCTGCATGACTTCCCGCATCATGAAGAAGCTCCCACAAACCACCAACACAGAAGCATCAGCAGCAGCAGCAGCAAATGCTTTGCGCAGCAGCTGAGGCAGTGTACCTGCAGCAACAGCAACAGCAGCAGCAGCAGCAACAACAACACTGCAACATTCGCAGCTAAAGCAAACCAGCAGCAGCAACACGATCTCCAACAGGAGCAGCATCGGCAGAAACAGCAGCAGCAGAAACAGCAGCAGCAGCAGCAGCAGCAGCGGGGACTTGCCTGGGCGGATCTGTTGCGCATGCTGCATGATGTCGGCTTCCTGCTGCTGCTGCTGCTGCTGTGTCTCCTCATGCTGCTCGTCTTTAAGCCAGAGAGACAACTGCATAATACCCTCCTCTATCAAACGGCGGAGACTAAAAGGAGACAGACACACAAAAGGAGACACTCAAGCATTCAGCAGCAGCAGCAGCAGTAGTAGTAGTAGCAAAAGCAGCAGCAGCAGAAGCAGCAGCAGCAATGGCAGCAGCAGCAGCAGCCGCAACAGCAGCAGCAACAGAAGCAGCAGCTGAAGTGCCTATAAAGGACCCTCTAAAGAAAGGCAGCAAAAGGAGACAGATGAGAGAACGCGAGAAAATCAAAGCAATGGTAGAGAAGAAAATAAATATGAGGAGACAGCTCAAGGAGACAGCAGGGAGATAAACCATATAAAGAGACAGAACATATATATAGAGAAAGCAGATGTATACGTATATATATATAAATAAGTATATATATATATGTATATATATAGACAGAAGATATATAAAGAGAAGGGAGAGATATATAAAGAGACAAGAAACAGATAAAGAAACAATATATATATATATACATATATATATATATATATATAGAGAGAGAGAGAGAGAGGAGACAGAAACAGAGACAGAAGACAGATAAAAGGAGACAGATAAAAGGAGACAGATAAAAGGAGACAGATAAAAGGAGACAGATAAAAGGAGACGGATAAAGTAGTACTCCGCATCAAAGTTAGAAGAGGAGACAATTTGCTCGAAAATTGCGGCTGTCTCCTGAACCCGAGGATGGTCGGCTGTAGCGACGTAAAGACCCTAAGACAAAATGCAAGCAAGAGAGACAAAACCCTAAACCCTAAACCCTAAACCCTAAACCAGACAAACTGGGAATATAATAAACAAAGCAAAAGAGACAAAAGGAGACAAAAAGAAACAAAAAGAGACGAAAGATATAAGCGAGAAAGGGTATGAAGAATGAGGAGACAGAGAAGAGACAAAGGGAGACACGAGGAGACAGAAGAGATAATATAAAAACATAACAGATCTATATTGCTGTATACATATATACGTATATGTATATAAGTATAAATATATATATATATATATATATATATGAGGGAAGAGACAATGAGGAGACAAAGAGGAGACAAAGAGAAGACAAAAGGAGACAGACAGCAGAACAAAACAAAAAAGAGAGACAGCAAAAGCGAGAAAAAATAAACCTCCGGAGACAGCGGGCATATAAAGAAAGCTCGTGAGCAGGCCTAACGTTCAGGGTTTAGGGTTTAGGGTTTAGGGTTTACTTTAAGTCTATTGTTTAAAGGAAAGAAAAACTGAGCCAGTGCAGGTCGCAGAATGTCTGGGGAGCGATCGTTAGAGAGACAGCAAAAAATGCGCACCGAGGCTCCGAAGAATCGATAGCCTACCATCTAAAGGAGACAGTAAAAGAGACAGCAAAGGAGACAGTAAAAGAGATAGCAAAGGAGACAGTAAAAGAGATAGAAAAGGAGACAGTCAAGGAGACAATAAAAGAGACAATAAAGGGGACAATCAAGGAGACAATTGAAAAGATAGAAAAGGAGACAGTAAAAGAGATAGAAAAGGAGACAGTAAAAGATGTAGAAAAGGAGACAGTAAAGGAGACAATAAAGGAGACAATCAAGGAGACAATAAAAGAGACAATCAAAGAGACAATAAAAACGATAGAAAAGGAGAAAGGGAGACAGTGAAGGGGACAACGAAGGAGACAATGAAGGAGACAATGAAGGAGACAATAAAGGAGACAAAGAGAGACAAAGCAGATAGGAGACAAACAGAGACAATAAAGGAGGCTAAAAGGTATTGAAGAGGCAACAATAAAGGCGATAAAAAAGAGACAAAGAGATAAAAGGACGAGTCAAAAAAAGGAGACAAAAACGAGATAAAAAAGGAGACAAAAGGAGACAAAGATGGAGACAAGAAGAGACAAAAGGGAGACAAGAAGAGACAAAAAAAGAGAAACAAAAAGGAGATAGGGAAAGAGAGACAAACAGACAGCAAAAGAGACAGTAAAAAGAAACCGTTACTGCTCCAAAGCACCACGAGCAGCAGGAGCAGCAGCAGCAGCAGCAACAGCAGCAGCAGCAGCAGCAGCAGCAGCAGCAGCAACAGCAATAAGAAAATATACCTGGAAGAGACGCTCTAAGGCGCTCTCATTATGCCCCACATCCAATATAACAGCCTGAGGGACAGGGAGATCCGAATCTTCTGTTTCAAGCTGCGTGCTGCTGCTGCTGCTGCTGCTGCAGAGACGAGCAGCAACACGCAGCTGCTGCTCCGAAAGGAGCTGTCCCCTCATGGGGGGACAGCTGCTGAGAGCAGCAGCAAGGCGAGAAGAAGGTAGATCTAAGCGCAGTACCTGCTGCACAACAGTGCTGCGTAGACAGCAGCAAACGGAGACAAAAGGAGACACAAAGAAATTAAAATATATAAAAGGAGACAGATATAAGGAGACATATCTACCCCCCAGGAGAAGAAACAGAGACAGCAGCATATGCGCATAAAAGGGCTATAAACCGTCTCCTCTTAAAGACAAACAAATAACAGATAGGAGACAAAAAGGAGACAAGGAAGAGATAAAGCAAAGCGAAAGGAGACACAAGGAGACAAAAGGAGGCACTTGAAGACAAAAGGAGACAGCAAGGAGATACGAAGGAGATTAAAGGACCGAGAAGAAGCCAAAGGAGACAGAAAAGATATAAGGATGAGACAAAGTCAAAACAAAAGGAGACAGAAAGAAACAAAAATGGAGACGGAAAGAAACAAAAAGGAGACAAGACAGCAGAGGAGACAGGAGGAGACAAAAAAACAAAGGGAGACACACTGACACCAGAGGAGACACTCAACGAAACTCTAAGCCAACAACAACAACAACAACAACAACAACAGCAGCAGCAGCAGCACGAACAGCAGCAGCAGCAGCAGAAGCAGCAGGGGCAAAGGAGACAGACAGACACACGGGGAGACAGCTGATGCGATTAACCGCAGAAAGCAACAAAGAGAGACAGTTGGAGACAGTTAATTAGAGCCCTTGTTAATATAATTGCTTACTCTGCTATTCTGCTATTTTCAGCATCAAAGGTGTCTCCTCGAGGGTCTCCTTTCACCTCCCAAACATCGCACTGCAGCGCAGCAGCTGTCTCCAAAAATATCGGCCAGCATGCAGCAGTAGGCCCTGAACAGAGACAACATACACCTGCTACTGCTGCTGCTACTGCTGCTGCTGCTGCTGCTGATGCTGCTACTGATGCTACTGATGCTGCTGCTGCTGATAAAGATCATGCTGCTGCTGCTGCTGCTGCTGATGCTGCTGATGATGATGATTACATTTACAATGTTCCTGCTTATCCCCTTATTTACCGTTTATTTATTTATTTATTTATTTATTTGTTTATTTGTTTAATATATAATTTATTGTTTATTTGTTTAATATTAAATGTATTTAAATGTCTCTTTTTATTTAATCGCACCAAGCACTACTCCGGCATTCTTCTTAATTATTTTGGCCTTCTCCGTCGCAATCGCCTCCAAAGAATTACCCAAAATGTTCATGTGGTCCCAGCCTTCAAACAAATGCAATCAAAGGAGACAGTTTGACAGAAAGAGACAGTTAGACAGGAAGAGACAGGTAGACAGGAAGAGACAGGTAGACAGGAAGAGACAGTTAGACAGGAAGAGACAGTTAGACAGGAAGAGACAGGTAAAAGGAGACAGCTGGATTGGGCAGTTGAAAGGAGACAGTTAAAAGGAGACACTCAAATTAGACTTAGATAGGTAGAAGGAGACAGTCATGAGGAGAGAGTTAAAAGGAGACAGAAACAAATAAAGGGAGACACCAAAGTGACAGTGAAATCAGCAGGATCTCCACCAGCAGCAGCAGCAGCCACATCAGCAGCAGCAGCAGCAGCATTCACATCAGCAGCAGCATCCACGTCAGCACCCACAGCATCAGCATTCACATCGGCAGCATTCACAGCAGCAGCAGCAGCAGTAGCAGTAGCAACAGCAGTAGCAGCAGCAACAGCAGTAGCAGCAGCAGCATTCACATCATCATCATCAGCAGCAGCACCATCATCATCATCATCATCATCAGCAGCAGCAGCAGCATTCACATCATCATCATCAGCAGCAGCAGCAGCAGCAACAGCATTCACATCATCATCATCAGCAGCAGCAGCAGCATTCACATCAACAGCAGCAGCAGCAGCAGCATTCACATCATCAGCATCAGCAGCAGCAACAGCATTCACATCATCATCATCAGCAGCAGCAGCAGCAGCAGCAGTAGGAGGCTACCGATGGAGGTGATGACGCAGCACTTGGGGTTTGCGACGATGTTGGTGGCGTCGAGCCGACCGCCGAGACCGACTTCGAGCAAAGCCCAGTCAACGCTGCTCTCAGCGAAGAAGATATACGCTATTAAGCTGCAAATCTTACATGCATCCCCACACACATACACTAATAAATAAATAAATATATATATATATATTTATATGTATGTATATACATACGTGCATATACGTTGAGTTGCTGCGGCAGTCAGCGAGCGGCTGGCTAGCTGGCTAGCTAGCTAGCTAGCTAGCTGAGCATCTATCGATCTATATATATATATATATATATATATATAGCTAGTTAGCTAGCTAGCTCCCCATTTGCATATTTATCTATCTAGCTGTCTGGCTAGCTCAGATAGCTAACCAGCTAGCTAGCTAGCTAGTCAGCTAGCTAGCCAGCTAGCTAGCTAGCTGCATACCTCAAAGAAGGTAAGGGAGACCCCAACCTCTTGAGCTGCTCGTTTAACTTTGCTCATCGCGTGCACAAATTTATTTTCGCTAATTAATTCGCCGTTCACCGCAAAGCGCTCCCGCAAACAACACAAATGAGGTGATGTAAATACACCCACGCGAGAACCTGACACGCAAACCCTAAACCCTAAACCCTAAACCCTAAACCCTAAACACTAAACCCTAAACACTAAACCTGCAACCCGCCGCGTGGAAAGCAAACCCTAAACAATACACCCTAAACCCTAAACCCTAAACCCACGCAAACCGATGCGCGCAACGCAAACCATAAACCCTAAACCCTCCACGTACAATGCAAACCCTAAACCCTAAACCTTAAACCGTAAACCCTAATCCCTATATCCTCTACACCGTCGACGGTAGCCGCCTGTATAACCACTACAATGGCACTTTACAGTTAACACTAAACCCTAAACCCTAAACCCTAGACGCTCACAGACACATAACCTTAGACAAAACCCTAAACCCTAAACCCTTGAAGTCTGCATACCTTTCGCCATCAAACAGGCGGCCACCTTCGTGCATACACTCCCCTTTCCGTTCGTTCCTGAAGATGTTTAACCACAAACCCTAAACCCTAAACCCTAAACCCTAATCCCTCTTGCAGCTGCAGCACGGATTAAAAACATCTTCGTCTACTGTGTCTTCCTACTCCGCCCTTCATGGCTTCCCCACCGCAAACCCTAAACCCTCTTCGCAACCCTTTTAACCCTCTAAACCCTCTAAACCCTCTAAACCCTCTAAACCCTAAACCCTATCTTACCAGCAACATGAATAACATTAAATTTCTGCTGAGGGTTTCCCAGAGCTGCCGCAACTTTTTCTACGTCTTCTAACCCCAGCTTCATCTTCGGTGCCTCTGACAACTCCTTCACCGCCTTTAAATATAATTGATTATCTTTACTTGCCTCCTCAACCTGGGGGCCCCCCAGGGGGCCCACCTGAAAGCCTCGTTGGGGGCCCCCACCCTGGGGTGTCTCCTGAGGGTCCCCCTGATGGCCCCAGCCCTGGGGTGTCTCCTGGGGGCCCCCTGGGGGCCCTCCCTGGGGGCCCCCCGGGGGGCCCCCCCCTTGATGGGTGTCTTGGGGGGCCACCCGGGGACCCCCTAAGGCCTGGGGGGCCCCCCGGGGGCCCCCTGAGGCTGCATGGTTTGTAGTGAGGGTCTGGGGGGCCTCAGCAGGGGGCCCCTCTGGGGGCCCTCCATCTGTTGCATCAGACATAGGGGCCCTGTTGTTATTGAAGCTGTCTATTGATTGGTGAGTAGGGGCCCCCGTTGGCTTGGATTTAAGGGTTTAGGGTTTAGGGTTTAGGGTTTTGGGTTTAGAGATTGAATTGTAACTGCTTGTGTGCTAAAGCCGCCGCTGCTGCTGCTGCTTCCGCTGCTGCTGCTGCTGCTGCTGCTGCTGCTTCGGGGGCCCCCCAGCAGCAGGATGATTTGTAGTGCTGGGTCTCGCTATATGTTGTTTATTTTTCTTGTTGTTTTATTTGGTATAGAAACCCTCATTAGCATTTGCTTTAAGGGTTTACCAGTTAACTGCTAGGGTTTAGGGTTTAGGGTTTAGGGTTTAGGGTTTGAGTCATGGGGCTGCGGCCCGGCAGGCAGCGGATGAGTGGGGCGGCGCCTAAAGAGGGCTGAGCTTCTACAAACCCTAAACCCTAAACCCTAAACCCTAAAGATTAAACGGAGGCTTTATGTTATTATTCTTATTGCAGTGAAGGCTGTGCTGCGGTTTGTCTTTGCTGCTGCTGCTTCTGCTTCTCTCTGCTTTTCCTATCTCAACCCTAAACCCTAAACCCTAAACCCTAAACCCTAAACCCTAAACCCTAACTTCTAAACCCTCGTCGCATATTCTACAAATGGCTCAAGAAAAAAAGGTAAGGCGAACCTCCTCCAAACCCTCAGCCTACTAACACCATCCACAGCGTGTGTGTGTAGCCCTAGGGTTTAGGGTTTAGGGTTTAGGGTTTAGGGTTTACTGGCCATCGAAGGCGTTCTTCTGTTCGTCTGCAGGAAATGGAGGCCCTTGCTGGGGCACTCCAGAGAGTCACTGTTGGTGAGTCGCAGGGGTTTAGGGTTTAGGGTTTAGGGTTTAGGGTTTAGGGTTTAGGGTTTGTGGGACACGGGCTCCACTTTATCTAATGTTATGTCTGCTGCTTCGGCTCCTTTGCTGCTGCTTATAGCTTATTGCTGCAACATTTGCTGCAGCAGTTGCCGCAGCATCAGCATCAGCACCAGTAGAAGCTGCAGCAGCAGCACCGGCAGCAGCAGCAGCAGCAGCAGCAGCAGCAAAAGGGTTTTAATGTTATGTTTGTTGCTGCTGTTCAGAAGGAGGAGACTCTGTGTTGGCGGGGGTAGAAGATTCTTTATCTGCTTCGGAGAGAGCAGCAGTTCTTAAGCTGAAGCAGCTGCAGGTACACCCCAGCAGCAGCAGAAGCAGCAGCAGCAGAAGCCGTAGCAGCAGCAGCAACATTAGCAGCAGCAGCAACAGCTTCTTATGCAGCTTTCTCATTATTGCTGCACCTTCTCCTTCCCTTCCTTACTACTAACCACTGCTACCACCACCACCACTGCTGCTGCTGCTGCTGCTGCTGCTGCTGCTGCTGCTGCTGCTGCTGCTGCTGCTGCTGCTGCTTGTGTGTCTTAGGAGGAGCACTCTGCATTGTCTGCTCGGTTTGAAGCAGATGTGCTGCGGCTTAAACTAGAGTATGAAGAAAAGTATAAACCTCTTTACAAAGAGCGGCTAGAAGTTCTCGCAGCCACAGCAAACCCTGCAGGGGATCAAGCAGCAGAAAAGGAGACTACTGGCACTCCTGTATGATAGAATTAGGGTTTAGGGTTTAGGGTTTAGGGTTTAGCAGGGTTTAGGGTTTAGGGTTTAGGAGGGTTTAGGAGGGTTTAGTGTTTTAGGGTTTATAATCGGATATAGTGCTGCATGTATTTGTTTCAATCCGTTTTTTGGGGTGTAAAATTAGGGTTTAGGGTTTAGGGTTTAGGGTTTAGGGTTTAGGGTTTTGTTTGCAGGGTTTACCATCATTCTGGCTGCGAGCTCTAAAAGCGAATAGATTGCTTGCAGACATAATTGAGGAGTATGATGAGGGGCCTCTATCTTATCTGAAAGATATAACCTGTGAATGGTTGTCTGCGCCGCTTGAGGACAAGAAAGAAGAGGGTAATATAGAAGTAGAGACTGCCCACGGCGAGAGTTTTCGTCTTAAGTTTGAGTTCGCTGAGAACCCTTTCTTTACGCCTTTAACTCTAATTAAAGAGTACTGGCTGGCAGTAGGAGAAGGAGGTAGAGGTGCTGAGTTAATAAGAACAAAAGGGACATCTATCATGTGGGAGAAGAATAAAGATATCACAAAAAAGACCGTTGTCAGAAGACAAAGAAACAGAAAAACTAAACAAACTAGAACCATCACCGAAACTGTTGACGCAAACTCTTTCTTTAACCTCTTTGCTGATCACGAGATACCCTCCGATGATAAGCTTCAGCAAATGGATGAAAAAGAGGTATTATCAACCCTAAACCCTAAACCCTAAACCCTAATCGATCAGCCACCAACATCACATTAACACGGCACCCTAATCAATCATCAACACCACACACACCCTAAACCCTAATCAACCCTTAAAGCTAAGCACAAACCCTAAACCCTAAAACCTAATCAACACTTTACATCGCACAAACCCTAAACCTTAAACCCTTATCAACTCTTAACACTGTACAAGCCCTAAACCCTAATATGCCCTGGTTAAACCCTAAACCCTAAGACGCACAAACCGTAAACCCTAACGCAAACAAATCCTAAACCCTCGAAAGTTAAAAAAAACCAGCGCAAAATACCCGCGGCAAAAACCCTAAACCCTAAACCCTAAACCCTTAAAGCCAAGCACAAACCCTACACCTCTTCTTTATTTACATTCGCAACAACAAACCACTAAACCCTAAACCCTTAAGCAACCTTCTACGAGTCAAGCATGACCCATTAGAGTTTAGGGTTTAGCCTGCACGGTTCATTCCTGCGCTTAGGGTTTAGGGTTTAGGGTTTAGGGTTTGGGGTGTACGCGCAGGTTGAAGAGCTGCAGATGGTCGTGGAGGCAGACTACGACATCGGCATCACCATCAGAGTATGACAGCAAACCCTAAACCCTAAACCCTTAGTCCCCCAACCCTAGGCCTTAATCTGCAAACCCTAAACCCTAATCGTCTATCCTCAGACCCTCCTGTGCAATCTGGGTACTGGGATATGTGGGTGTGAAACGGTAGGGTTTAGGGTTTAGGGTTTAGGGTTTGCGCATGTTAACTCGGGAGGTAGCGACCGTAGCTGTCGTTCCTTCTCCGTAGCCGCTAAACCCTCATGAGCAAACCCTAAACCCTAAACCCTAAACCACCGATTGCTTTCTCTTCTCAGGACAAGATTATCCCCCGAGCGGTTGACTGGTACTTGGGGCAGGTAGACGATGACTCTGACTTCGATGACTACGACGCAAACGATGAAGAGTTGTACGCGAGGGTTTAGGGTTTAGGGTTTAGGGTTTAGGGTTTGGGGGAACAGTGACAGCCACAGCAGCGAACGACTAGAGACGGTTTAGGGTTTGCGTGTGCATCGGCCGCGAAGAGGATGACAAGGCAGGGCTTAGGGTTTAGGGTTTAGGGTTTAGGGTTTAGGGTTTAGGGTTTAGGGTTTAGGGTTTAGGGTTTGCGCATGCAGCGACAGCGAGGAAAGCGACGAGGAAGAAGACTCTTCTGATGAAGAACCTCCCCGTCCTCACAAAGGTGCGGAGAAGGTATCGAGACACAGAGCAAGGGTTTAGGGTTTAGGGTTTAGGGTTTAGGGTTTGAGGTGTATGTAGTACACAGGCGGGGGTGTGAGACCCACTACCGTTCGCGTGCTCAGCCTTGGCTACTGCTACTGCTGCTGCTGCTGCTGCTGCTGCTGCTACTGTTGCTGCTGTTGCTGCTGCTGCTGCTGCTGCAGGCCACTATCGACATTGAGAAAGGAGGTGCGGATCAGAAGCCTGAGTGTAAACAGCAATAAATTTTAAATTCTTCAGCGACAGCAAAAGGGAGTAGCAGCTGAAGCAGCAGCAGAAGCAGCAGCAGCAGCAGCAGCAGCAGCAGCAACAGCTGCTGTTGCTGCTGCTGCTAATGGTGTCTGGTGTTGTATCGCCACAACAACAAAACCATCAGCCTTCCTAACTCTGTTTATTTACTTTGTTTAGTGTTTCAGTCTGTTAAAACAGAGGGTTTAGGGTTTAGGGTTTGAATACTATCGGCTCCTCTAGGAGAGTCTGCCGCTGCTGCAGTGTTTGCTGCTGCTGCAGCGTTTGAGCTGCTGCTACTGCTGCAGCAGCAGCAGGATCTCCTGCTGCAGGAGCAGCTGGAGCTGCCGTTGCAGCAGCAACTGGAGAGCTGCTGCAGCAGCTGCTGCTGCTGCTGCTAGCGCATCTCCGATGGGGCGGCGTGCTGCTGCTGCCCCGTCGCTCTAGCAGCAGCAGCAGCAGCATGTGTCTCTAACTCTGTTAATTTATTTCTGAGTATATCGAAAGCCATCTGCACAATCTTCTCCGCTGGCATCACTCCTGTAGACTGTACATACACCCCAGACAGCAGCAGCAGCAGCAGCAGTAGCAGTAGCAGCAGCAGTAGCAGCAGCAGCAGGAGTGAGCCCGTGCGGTCTGTCTTGCTGCTGCTGTTACATGCAGCACAAAGAGAAATATAATTAAGAGAGATAGAAGGAGACAGTAGATATAAATAGAGACAAAACGTAGCAGCAGCAGCAGTAGCTGCGACATACAAACAGATTATAATATAAAGCAGAGACAAAAAAGCAGCAGCAATAACAGATAAACAATAGAGGAGAGAGACAGAGACAGAAACCTAAACCCTAAACCCTAAACCCTAAACCCTAGAATGCACAACAAAGATAAAAGCAACAGAACGGAGACAGAAAAAGAGATAAAGGAGACAACTGAAAACAAACAGAGACAACGAGGAGAGAAACAAAGACAAAAGGAGACAGCGAGGGAGACAGCAGACGCAACAAGACAACAAGGAGAAAGAAAAGGAGACAAAGAGAAGACAAAAGGAGACAGCAAAGGAGACAAAGAGACGACAAACGGAGACAGACAAAGAGACAAAAGGGAGACAAAAACGGAGACAAAGAGAAGACAAAAGGAGACAGCAAGGAGACGAAGAGAAGACAGAAGGAGACAGCAAGGAGACAGCAAGGAGACAGCAAAGGAGACGAAGAGAAGACAAAAGGAGACAGCAAGGAGACAGAAAGACTGCGGCTTACCTCCACGGTGAAGTGAAAGGTGCGCTCATCAGGAGACACCTCCACCGCCTCGCGAAGAGACAACTCCTTTGCTTTCTTTAAACACTGGTTGCAGTACCTGCAGCAGCAGCAGCAGCAGCAGCAGCAGCAGCAGCAGCAGACGCAGTTGCAGAAGTTGCAGCAGCAGCAGCAGCAGCAGCAGCAGCAGACGGTGTGGCAAGAGCAGCAAAAGCACAATTGCTCTGAAGACAGAAGCAGCAGTAGTATCAACTATAGCAGCAGCAGCGGCAGCAGCAACAGCAACAACAGTAGCAGCAGCAGCAGCACCAGCAACAAGAGTAGCAGCAGCAGCAGCAACGACAACAACAATAGCAGACAGCAGAAGCAGAAACAGCAGCAGCAGCAGCAGCAAGGTTTACATGCAGTCGAAGGCGTTGGCTACTCTAAGGATGCCGTTGCCTGCAGCAGCAAAAGGAGACAGAAGAAAGGAGACAAATACAAACAGGAAGAGAGACAGAGAAAGAGACAGCTATTAAAGAGACATATGCAAAAGGATGAAACAAACAAAGGAGACAAAAGGAGACAGAACAGCGACAAAGAGACAAAAGGAGACAGATGAAGATAAACAATAAACGCGGAGACAACCAAAGACAAAAGGAGACAGATAAACAATAAATGAGGCGACAAGCAAAGACAAAAGGCGACAACAACAGACAAAAGGAGACAAAAGGAGACAGAAAAGAGGACGAAAGGAAGGAGAAAAGACACAAAACGAAACAGGCGAGACAGCGTAAAGACAAAAGGAGACAGCTAAGAGACAAAAGGAGACAGATAAGAAGATACAAGGAGAGAAAAGGAGACATAAGGAGACAGATAGAAAGATAAAAAGAGACAGATAAAAAGAATAAAGGAGACAGATGAAAAGATAAAAGGAGACAGGAAAAGAGACAAAAGGAGACATATAAGGATAAAAGGAGGCAGAAAAGGAGACAAAAGGAGACAGATAAGAGACAAAAGGAGACAGATGAAAAGATAAAAGGAGACAGGAAAGGAGACAAAAGGAGACAGATAAAAAGATGAAAGGAGACAGAAAAGGAGACAAAAGGAGACAGATAAAAAGATAAAAAGAGACAGATAAAAAGAATAAAGGAGACAGACAAAAAGATAAAAGGAGACAGAAAAGGAGACAAAAGGAGACAAAAGGAGACAGACCTCCTAGGTGTGTGTCGTCTTCAACCTCGAAGACATTTCTGGGGCAAGACTCAGCGCTGAGGAGAAACAAAAAAATAAACAAAGACATATATAAATATAAATATATAAATATAAATATATATAATATATATAATATATATAGTATATATATAATATGTTTATTTATTGTTTGTTTCTTCATTCGGAGACAGCAAAGCAAACAAAGAGACAAAATAAGAGTCTCCTTTTTATTATGTAAGAAAGAAAGAAATATCTCTTTGTTATTTTATTGTTTATTTTCTGTTTATTTCTTTGTATGGAGACAAACAAAGAAGTAAGTAAGTAAATAAATAAATAAATAAATAAATAGATAAATAAATATAAACAGCAGCAAATAAAAGAGAGGAGAATAAACAACTTCAGAAAGAAAAGAACAAATAAAATAAACAAAACGATGTAAATATAAATATAAATATAAATATAAATATTAATATTAATACAATATATAAATATAAATATAAATATTAATATTAATAATAAATTATTATTATGGTGATATACGTAACAAGCAAACACAAATACTGAAAAAAATAATTAATATAAAACAAAGAGATCAGCAAAGAAAGAGACAGCTGCACAAAAGGAGACAAACCAAAGACAAAAGGAGACAGACAAAAGACAAAAGGAGACAGAAGAAAGACAAGAGGAGACAAACACAGACACACGAAAGACAAAAGGAGACAGAAGAAAGACAAGAGGAGACAAAAAGGAGACAAACAAAAGACACATAAAAAAGGAGACAGAGAGAAATAAGAGAGACAAAAGGAGAGAGATAAAAAGACAAAAGGAGACAGATAAAAATCAAAAGGAGACAGATAAAAAGACAAAAGGAGACAGATAAAAGGCTAAAAGGAGACAAATAAAAAGACAAAAGGAGACAGATAAAAAGACAGGAGGAGACAGACAGACAAGCAAACAAATGCTCTTCTTTGTGTCTCTTACATCTCTCTCTTGGCCTGCAAGGAGACGCCTTGTAGCAAATCTTCTCTTAAGCGAATCTGCGGGTTGCATTTATATGTTGCTGTCGCAACCGGGCTCCACTTCGCATGCAGCTTCCCAATGCCCTGTACGTACACCCCACAATATCTTGCTGCTGCTGCTGCTGCTAGTGCTGCTGCTGCTGCTGCTAATGCTGCTGCTGCTAATGCTGCTGCTGCTAATGCTGCTGCTGCTGCTGCTAATGCTGCTGCTGCTGCTAATGCTAATGCTGCTGCTGCTGCTGCTAATGCTGCTGCTGCTGCTGCTAATGCTGCTGCTGCTCATGCGTTTGAGGCTGCAGCTGACGGATAGTGAAGGAGACAAAAAGAGAAACGAAGGAAGCAGCCGCAGCAACAACAGCAGCAGAACAGCAGTACAGCAGCAGCACAGCAGCAGCAGCACAGCAGCAGCAGCACAGCAGCAGCAGCACAGCAGCAGAGAGAAGAAGCTAACTTTCGTAGCAAGACAAGACATGCTGATAGTTTGGTTCTTCCGCAGCTTCACAATGGGGATGCCCGACTGAAAGCAGCACAACCAAACCCTAAACCCTAAACCCTAAACCCTCAAGATCTTGTGCCCCTCCCCCTTCGCCCTTCACCGAAGTTCCTGGCCATAAACCCTAGACCCTAAACCCTAAACCCTAAACCCCAAACGCGAAGCCCATCCCCTGCCTGCCCCTCAGCCCCCGGTCCGCAAGCTGTAAGCCCTAAACCCTAAACCCTAAACCCTAAACCCTAGATGGTGGTTTGCATTACTGTGATTCCTTCTGCTTGCATTTCGCTGGGTGAAGGGACAGGAAGAGGCGGCGACCGATGCAAGGAGACAGCAAACCCTAGAGAGCGCTCAGGGGTTAAGTCTGAGTGCGTTACTAAGACTGTCTCTGCATCTGCCGCAGAAACATCTAACGAATATTTAACAGAGCAGCGCCCGCAATGGTCCGAGCATAAGCATTGCTGCAGCAAACAATAACAGCAGCAGCAGCAGCAGCAGCAGCAGCAGCAACATAAGCAGAAGCAAAAGCAGAAACAGCAGATAAGATAATGCAGCAGCAGATTTAGAAGCAGCAGCAACAGATTAAACAACACCAAAAAAACGCTGCAGCAATAGGTGCTCGCTTTTTGCTGTTGCTGCTGTTGCTGCAGCAGCAGCAGCAGCAGCAGCAGAAGCAGCGGTAGCAGCAGCTAAGGAGATGCACCAGCAGCTGCAGCAGCAACAGAAGCATCTACAGGCGCAGCAGCAGCAATGGCAGCAGCAACAGCAGCAGCCAAATGACCTGAGATGTTAGGCCCTAAACCTAAGACCTAAACCCTAAACCCTAAACCCTAAACCCTAAACCCTCGATGCCTCACATCCCTCGAGACGAAGCTCTCCACGTTGGAGCTGTCAATGGGCAGCAAACCCAACCTAAGATGCAGCACAAACCCTAAACCCTAAATCCTAAACCCTAAACCCCAAACCCTTGTTATAGGCCGCAGCCCTCGAAGGAAAAGGAGCAAACCGGTAGAACAAAGCCTGAGGGTTTAGGGTTTAGGGTTTAGGGTTTAGGGTTTACCTATGTACGATGTATTCATCATGCAAGACGCTCGTATTTTCAAACACCGTCACCAAATCAATTGCCAATGTTGGAACCTCCGATATCTGCAAACCCTAAACCCTAAACCCTAAACCCTAAACCCTAAACCCTAAACCCTAAACCCTAAACCCTAAACCCTAAACCCCAAACCCTAAACCCTAATTCCTAAACCCTAATTCCAAAACCCTCAACTCCTCCTACTGGCCATAAACCCCATACCCTAAACTCCAGATCCTAAACCCTGAACCCTAAACCCTAAACCCTAAACCCTAAACCCTAAGCGGAGGACTCCGGGTAAGGCCCGAAACTCCAAACCCTAAACCCTAAACCCTTAGCGTACCATTACTCTTCTGAGAGCATTTGCAATGGAGACATCGCAGTTGCTGAGAGTGAAACGAACGACTTTGTTTGAAAGCTCTGTAACCCTAATTGCTGCTTGCGCTAGCTGCTGCTGCTGCTGCTGCAGCAGCTGCGGCTGCTGATTGAGGCGCTGCAGCGAAGCCGCTGGACCACCAATAGCACCTCCCACGGAGCTGCTATAATCAGCAATGTTGCTCATTTTTGTTGCTGCTGCTGCTGCAGTTGCTGCGGCTGCTGCTGCACGTTTTGCTGCTGCTGCAGTGCTGCTGCGGCTGCTGCTGCAGTGCTGCTGTTGTTGCTGCTGCTGTTGCCGTTACGTGTTGCTGTTTAAGACTATATCTCAAGCCCAAGCAAGACCACCATTAATTTCATGAATTGCAGCAGCAGCAGCAACTGTTGCTGCTGCTGCTGCTGCTGCTGCGGCAGCTGCAGTGGTGGCCCGGGGGCCAAGCAGCAGTTGTTAGGGTTTAGGGTTTAGGGTTTAGGGTTTAGTGTTTGGGGTGTGGGGTGTACGTACACTGCAGATCTTTGCTGCAAGTTTTAATTATATGCAGCGGCAACAGAGTTAAACCACTGAAAGGAGAAGGGCCTCAGCAGCAGAAGGCTTGGGGGTTGAGAGGCCCAGAATTAGGGTTTAGGGTTTAGGGTTTAGGGATTAGGGTTTAGGGTTTAGAGGTTTTTAAAAATGCGTGGAAGCCTTCCTTATCTCCAAACCGCCTCCAAGGGCAGCCGACGCATGCGCCGCAGCAGGCCCTGTTGCTGCTGCTGCTGTTGCTGCTGCTGCTGCTGCTGCTGCTGCTAGAGCTGCTGCTGCTGCTGCTGCTGCGGATCCAGTTAAATTAACAGCAGCGCGGAGGTTAATAATTCAACTTGGTGCGTTTCAGGTGTATAGGCAGCTGCGGACCCTCCACACTATTGCTAGCAGCAACACTCGACCCATCCCTGAGGTGAGGTGTACAGACACCGCAGCAGCAGCAGCAGCAGTAGCAGCAGCAGCTACAGCAACAGCAGCAGCAGCCATTCGCTCCACTCAAGAGGACGCCACAGCCCTTCCACGCAGCAGCAGCAACGGCAGCAATAGCAGCAACGTCAGCAACAGCAGTAACGGAGGCAGCAGCAGCAGCAGCAACAGCACCACGTTGCAGAAGCAAGGGCAGTAGCAACATCAGCAGCAGCAGCAACAGCACCAACGGCAGCAACAGCAATAATAGCAGCAGCAGCTACAGCAACAGCAGTTGCAGCCAGAGCAACAGCACCAGCAGCAGCAGCAGCACAGGGAAACAGCTCCTTGTGTTTGTTCCGACTTGGTTTTAACAGCAGCAGCAGCAACAACAGCAACATCAGCAACAGCAACAGCAACAGGAATAGCAGCAGCAGCAGTAGCAGCAGCAGCAGTAGCAGCAGCAGCAGCATGCCTCTGCGTATCATTCGCTTGAATGTGTTGTGTTTGTGCTGCTACAACGTGCGTTACGCTGCTGCTGAGGTGCTTAGTGCTGTTGCTGCTGCTGCTGTTGCTGCGTTTGTTGCTGCTGCAGCAGCAACTGTCTCTGTTCGGGTTGAAGATGGAGACAACAAAAGACAAAGGAGACACGTGAGCGGATTAGCACCGCCTCACTCTCTTTTCTCTTTCTTTGTCTCTTTCTTTCTGTCTCTGTCTCTTTCTGTCTCCTTTCTGTCTCCTTTCTGTCTGTCTCCTTCTGTCTCCTTTCTTTTTGTCTCTTTGTCTCTTTCTTTATCTGTCTCTTTATCTCTGTCCCTGTCTCTCTTTCTGTCTCTTTATCTCTGTCTCTCTCTGTCTCTCTCTGCGTCTGCTGTCTGTCTCTTCTTTCTTTATCTGTCTCTTTGCTTTCTGTTTGTATTTTTTGTCTCCTAATATCTCTGCATATTAATTTCTTCTGTCTCCTTTTATATCTTTTATTTCTGTTAATCTCTTTTATCTCTTTCTGTCTCCTTTAACTTTTGTCTCTCTTTGTCTTCATCTTTGTCTCTTTTTATTCTGTCTGTCTCCTTCGTCTCTTTTAATCTTTTGCCTCCTCTTTGTCTCTGCTTCTTTTTATATCTCTTTGCTTCTTTTTATCTCTCTTTATATATATTTGCTTCTTTTTATCTTTCTGTCTCCTTCTCTGTCTCCTTTCTGTCTCCTTTTGTCTTCAACAGTTCTCAGATGGATCCAAGCGAAGTGGAGGCCCTCTACCCCTGCTGCGATATTGCCTTGTGGTGGTCAGCAAGTCTTGCTGCTGCTGCTGCTGCTGCTGCTGCTGTTGCTGCTGCTGCTGTTGCTGCTGCTGCTGTTGCTGTTGCTGCTGTTGGCTGTTGTTTGGTGGTACTATGCGCTTCTGAAGCAGGATTTGCTGCTGCAACAGCTGCTGCTGCTGCATCTCCTCCTCACTCCTTCACAGCTGCCTTGCTGCTACCGTTACTGTTACTGTTGCTCCTGCTGCTGCTGCTGTTGCTGCTGCTGTTGCTGCAGGCATGAGCTGCGGCTGCCTGAGGGCGACACAACGCCGGAGAGGCGAGCAGAGG